TCCAACATGACTGCCCACCAGTGCACAAAGCAAGGTCCATAAAGACATGGAGGAGCCAGTTTGGGGTGGAGGAACTTGACTGGCCTGCACAGTCCTGACCTCAACCCCATAGAACACCTTTTGGGATAAATTAGATCAAAGACTGTGAGCCAGGCCTCCTCCCCCGACATCAGTGCCTGACCTGACAAATGTGCTTCTGGAAGAATGGTCCAACCTTCCAATAGACATCCTCCTAAACCTTGTGGACAGCCTTCCCAGAAGAGTTGAAGCTGTTATAGCTGCAAAGGGCGGGGCCAACTCAATATTGAACCCTACGTACTAAGACTGGGGGGGCCATTAAAGGTCATGTGCGTGGAAAGGCCGGCCGATCGATACTTTTGGCAAAATAGTGTAGTTTTAGCTGCCCAAATTTGTGCTTTAAAATTCCCTATGATGTGGGTATTACAGGAAGCTTACAACAGGGCTTCTTTTTTTAATTTGTAACGTTTTAAATAAAGCTTAAGTATAATCGAATATTTTACCTTCCTCCTCCCCCCTCATCAACATGCTAATACATCTTTTATTTATTTATTTATTATAGGTACTTACACAGCACCTTAGAATTATTTGCTGTGTGTATATATATACAGTCATGGCCGAAATTGTTGGCACCCTTGATATTTTTCCTGAAAATCAAGTATTTCACACAAAAAAGGTATTGCATTAACACATGTTTTGCTATACACATGTTTATTCCCTTTGTATGTATTGGAACAAATATAAAACAGAGGCAGAAAAGCAAATATGACATAATGTCACACAAAACCCCAAAAATGGGCTGGACAAAAGTATTGGCACCCTTAACTTAATATTTGGTTGCACACCCTTTGGAAAACATAACTGAAATCAGTCGCTTCCTATAACCATCAATAAGCTTCTGACACCTCTCACCCGGAATTTTGGACCACTCTTCCTTTGCAAACAGCTCCAGGTCTCTCTTATTGGAAGGACACCTTTTCCCAACAGCAATTTTAAGATCTCTCCACAGGTGTTCAATGGGATTTAGATCTGGGCTCATTGCTGGCCACTTCAGAACTCTCCAGCGCTTCTTTGCCATCCATTTCTGAGTGCTTTTTGACGTATGTTTGGGGTCATTGTCCTGCTGGAAGACCCAGGATCTTGGACGCAAACCCAGCTTTCTGACACTGGGCCCTACAGTGCGACCCAAAATCCTTTGGTAATCCTCAGATTTCATGATGCCTTGCACACAGTCAAGGCACCCAGTGCCAGAGGCAGCAAAACAACCCCAAAACATCATTGAACCTCCACCATATTTTACCGTAGGTACTGTGTTTTGTTCTTTGTAGGCCTCATTCCGTTTTCGGTAAACAGTAGAATGATGTGCTTTACCGAAAAGCTCTATCTTGGTCTCATCTGTCCACAAGACGTTTTCCCAGAAGGCTTTTGGCTTACTCAAGTACATTTTGGCAAACTGTAGTCTTGCTTTTTTATGTCTCTGTGTCAGCAGTGGGGTCCTCCTGGGTCTCCTGCCATAGCGTTTCATTTCATTTAAATGTCGACGGATAGTTCGCGCTGACACTGATGCTCCCTGAGCCTGCAGGACAGCTTGAATGTCTTTGGAACATGTTTGGGGCTGCTTATCCACCATCCGGACTATTCTGCGTTGCAATCTTTCATCAATTTTCCTCATCCGTCCACGACCAGGGAGATTAGCTACAGTGCCATGGGTTGCAAACTTCTTGATAATGTTGCGCACTGTGGACAAAGGCAAATCTAGTTCTCTGGAGATGGACTTGTAACCTTGAGATTGTTGATATTTTGCCACAATTTTGGTTCTCAGGTCCTCAGACAGTTCTCGTCTCCTCTTTCTGTTGTCCATGCTTAGTGTGGCACAGACAGACACACAATGCAAAGGTTAAGTGAACGTCTCTCCTTTTTATCTGCTTTCAGGTGTGATTTCTATATTGCCCACACCTGTTACTTGCCCCAGGTGAGTTTACAGGAGCATCACATGCTTGTAACATTCTTATTTATCCGCAGTTGTGAAAGGGTGCCAATACTTTTGTCCAGCCCATTTTTGGAGGTTTGTGTGACATTATGTCGAATTTGCTTTCTTTCCTCCCTTTTTTTGTTTTGTCCCAATACACACAAAGGGAATAAACATGTGTATAGCAAAACATGTGTTAATGCAATACGTTTCGTGAGAAATACATGATTTCCTGGAGAAATATCAAGGGTGCCAACAATTTCGGCCATGACTGTATATATATATATATATATATACAGTTTCATTCATATCAGTCCTTGCCCTTTTTTTTTTTAGCTAAAGCTTTTTTTTTTCATACCTCCTTTTTTAGAATACATCTTTTATTTATTTATTAATTACAGGTACTTACACAACACCTTACAATTATTTACTGTGCGTGTATATATATATATATATATATATATATATATATATTTTTTTTTTTTTTAATTTTTTTTTTCATTCATATCAGTCCTTGCCCTTTTTTTTTTTTTTTTTTTTTTTAACTAAAGCTATTTTTATTTCATACCTCCTTTTTAGAATACATCTTTTATTTATTTATTAATTAAATTACAGGTACTTACACAACACTTTACAATTATCTACTGTGTGCGTATATATATATATATATATATATATATATATATATATATATATATATATATATATATGTGTATATATGTATATATATATATATATATATACAGTTGCAAGAAAAAGTATGTGAACCCCTTGGGATTATGTGGAGTTTTGCATGAATTGGGCATAAAATGTGCTCTGAACGTCATCTAAGTCACAACAATAGAAGAACACAGTCTGCTGAACATAATACTACACAAACATTAGATGTTGCCATGGTTTAATTGCACATAACATGTAAACATTCACAGTGCAGGGAGGAAAAAGTATGTGAACCTTTGGACTTAATAACTGGTTGACCCTCCTTTGGCAGCAATAACCTCAATCAAACATTTCCTGTAGTTGCAGATCAGACCTGCACAACGATCTGGAGTAATTTTGGACCACTCCTCTTCACAAAACTGTTTCAGTGTAGCAATATTCTTGGGATGTCTGGTGTGAATCGCTCTCTTAAGGTCATGCCACAGCATTTCAATCGGGTTGAGGTCAGGACTCTGACTGGGCCACTCCAGAAGGCGTATTCTGTGCTGTTGCAGCCATTGTTTTGTTGAATTACTTGTATGCTTTAGGTCATTGTCGTGTTGCATCACCCATCCTCTGCGGAGCTTCAGTTGGCGGACAGATGGTCGTACGTTTTCCTGCAAAATGTCTTGATAAACTCTGGAATTCATTTTCCCATCAATGACAACAATCCGTCCAGGCCCTGAGGCAGCAAAGCAGCCCCAAACCATGATGCTCCCTCCGCCATGTTTTACAGTGGGGATGAGGTTTTGATGTTGGTGTGCTGTGCCTTTTTTTCTCCACACAGTGTTGTGTGTTCTTCCCAAACAACTCAATCTTGGTTTCATCTGTCCACAGTATATTTTGCCAGTAGTGCTGTGGAACATCCAGGTGCTCTTTTGCAAACTTCAAACGTGCTGCCATATTCTTTTTGGACAGCAATGGCTTCCTCCGTGGTGTCCTCCCATGTACTTCATTCTTGTTTAATGTTTTCCTTATTGTAGATGTGTCAACAAAAATGTTAGCATGTGCCAGAGATTTCTGTAGGTCTTTAGCTGACACTCTGGGATTCTTCTTTACCTCATGCAGCATTCTGCGCTGTGCTCTTGCAGTCATTTTTACAGGACGACCACGCCTAGGGAGAGTAGCAACAGTGCTAAACTTTCTCCATTTGTAGACAGTCTGTCTTACCGTGGACACATGAACATCAAGGCTTTTGGAGATACTTTTGTAACCCTTTCCAGCTTCATGCAAGTCAACAATTCTTGATCGTAGGTCTTCTGAGAGCTCTTTTCTGCGAGGCATGGTTCACATCAGACAGTGCTTCCTGAAACCAGTAAACCCAAAACAGGTGTGTTTTTTAAGGGCAGGACAGCTGTCGGCAACACATCCAATATCATCACACTGATTGGAGTCAAGGTTGGCTCACTCCTGGCTCCAATTAGCTCTGGGAGAAGTCATTAAGCTAGGGCCTCACATACTTTTTCCTCCCAGCACTGTGAATGTTTACATGTTATGTGCAATTAAACCATGGCAACATCTAATGTTTGTGTAGTATAATGTTCAACAGACTGTGTTCTTCTATTGTTGTGACTTAGATGACGTTCAGAGCACATTTTATGCCCAATTCATGCAAAACTCCAAGTAATCCCAAAGGGTTCACATACTTTTTCTTGCAACTGTATATATATATATATATATATATATATATATATATAGTTCATTCATATCAGTCCTTTCCCTTTTTTTTTTAACTAAAGCTGTTGTTTTTATTTCATACCTCCTTTTTAGACTCAGTGATGTCACTACTGGATGTTTGCACTTCTCTATGCAATGCAGGCAGATCATGGCTGGTGGGAGGGGCTGGCAGGGGGCTGCGCATAGGTTCCTGAAAACATCACAGCACTTTTTGCTTCAGTACTCCTCTCCAGAGCCCTCATCCCTCAGCTGGATGGATCTTTGGGGAAGTCATGTAAGCCAAATCCCTTGATGGATGAATGTCAGTGTGGAGGGGTATATTGGTTCTAGGCCATACCAATACATTAGAAGGGTTGGTCAGGCTGGGGAGGAAATGGCTAGATGATGCTGGATGTGCTTCTGCCAGGAAATGACTCGTTGCAGCTTCTAATGTACATTGTGAGACGCTCACAGTGTGCAGTGAAATCAGAGGAAGCCATTTCAGCCCAGGAAGAGGAGCCGGTACAACTGGGCAAGACTGGAGGGAAGGCTGGGGGTCAGGTATAGTTTATAGGGAATAATACATGGAGGGCAAGGAATTGATCCAGTTTTCATTTGCAGACATAACATCTCTGTATATGTTTAATGTTTCCTATAGCCCGGGTGTTTGAATGTGATGGAACACGGTCCAGAAAGAGGAAGCTGCTACACGGGAAGAATGCAGCTTGTAAGTGTACATTTCTGTCACGTTTCGGCTGGTAATGTGTCATGACTTCAGGGCCAGAGCCAAACCGTCTCCTGGCTCCTACCCCAAATCTCACTAATAGAGCAGAAAATGCATCCTGATTGTGAATCAGGCGTCTAAGTAGATCCAGCAACAGATCTGTCTTCTCACAGTATGTGTGTGCATGCTGCATAATGTGTATATGTAATACTTCCAGGTATTCATTACCTCTCACAGAGATCACAGTACTCCCTATGACAATGCCTTCATCTGACTTTCTCTCCATAAGGACGGAACCATGTTTGTTCAGGTATCCCCCAGGTTCACTAATTACTTCCTGGGCTGAGATGCCAGTACAGAGATAATGCAATCATGAAAATCTTGGTACTTGGCTGTTTTAGCAATCGTCGGACACAGATCAGCCCCTACAGCAGCCTACTACAAACTTGCAATGTTGATGTCTGATCAATAGTGGGAGACTGGGGAGATGCTTCCTTCTGCCTGCAGCAGACTGATGACATCTCAACCAATTCACTGCCTTGACCTCAAGGATGTTTTTTTTTTTTTTTTAAATAAAAGGTGGAGCTTTTTTTGAAAACTTATACTGTTCTGTATATTGTGATACCTTGGGAATCTACAACCCCAATCCCAGGAAAGTTGGAATGCTGTATAAAATCTACATAAAAACAGAATGCAAACCTTATAAACCCATAATATATTCACAATAGAGAATGTAAAATGCTTAAACTGAGAAAATATACCTTTTTAAAGTGGTTGTAAACCTCAGACATGAAATATGAACAAAGTTTATCCCTCTATAGTGTGTACTTATCTCACTCCAGAGCACTAAATGTCATTTCCGTCTGCTGCCTCTTTCCTCTGGTATCTGCATGAGTCACTTCTGACAAGTTTTCCTGACACCAAGAGAAAAATGGTGACAGGGGAGGGACCTCCAGCAGATTGACAGTCTCAGCTCCCTTCCTGCATGCTGTGTGAAGGGGGGGGGGGGGGTGTCCCTACCCTCCAATCAGCTCTGAGAGCTCTCCTCACTGACCTCTGCAGTGTATTCAGCTCTCCACCCCCTGTTTTCTGAATTCTTAGATAAGCGTTGTAATTTCTGGACTGTGAACAGATGTAGCGATAAGAAGACTGCAGAAAAACAGGTACACCTTATGTAGGAGGATTTGTTTCATCACCTGAGGCCAATCAGTTCACCAGGTATATGTAAGGGTTTACAACCACTTTAAGAAAGTTGTATCGCCTGCTGTTATGGTTTTTGAAAGTAATAGAAGATTTTGTTTTTTTTTTAGGGAAAGAATGCTGATTACTACAAAAGAGAGGTAAGTGTGGTTTTAATATTTTAATGATACGTCATAGATGAGTCGATTTACAGAGCTTGATTTTCATCCTGTACTCCTCTATGAAAGAACTGGGGGGATAAGAAGCAGAGTGAATGAAGAATGAGTGTTTAGAGGCGATTGGGAAGGATGATGGGAAACAGGACTGCAGAGTAAATAAGTGTCTTTTAGACATTTTTAGGAATGTGGATAGGGAACATATGTTTGACACCGAGCTACTTCTGAAAAATTCCGAGGGAATGATAAGAAGTTTGGAGAAGAGGAAATGATGACAGAGTTAATGGGGAGGGCGATGATGGAGGTCTGAGTGGCAGTATGATGGAGGTTTGAAAGAAAGAGAGGACAACTGAACATTAGATGAGAAAGTAAATGATGTGGACCAGGGGTGGACTGACAACTCATGGGGCCCGCATGAAATGTGTCCTTGCCCAAACTCAAAAAAGCCTATGAAAAAGATACCAGGGGCATCTCATGGGGTCCCCTACTGACCCCAGGCCCTCGGGCAGTGCCCGAGTTTCCAAATGGTCAGTCCGCCCCTGACGTGGACTTGTAAGGGATAAGATTATGACAGAGGAGAGAAGATGGACATTCAGACAATGATCAAAACAGAGAACCTCATGACGTACGATGAAAGGTTTGAATAAGAGGTCTATGATAAATGATAACATGGATGTAGAAGAGAGGCGATGATGAAAGGTTTTATGGAGTTTCTGATGGATGGATGATGGCAGTTCTATGGAAAGAAGTATTATAGAGCTCGAGAGTAGTGAAGATGGCAGAGGTTCAGAGCACAGAGGGTAACGATTGACAGAGGGAATGATGACAGATGATGACTGGGATAAGGGGAAGAGAAGACAATGGAGAGTCTGAGGAAGACATGTTTATTAGTGAAAAGAGATAAATGATGGCAAGGATCTGAAGGAAAGGAACATCTGAGGAGATAAAATTACAAGTTGTAGTAGTTTTGAGGAGTAATGATGATGAAAGGGCAAAAAAATGATGACAGGTTTGAAGAGTTGCATGATGGACGATGGCAGGGTTATGGAGGTGAAAGGACTATGGAAGGTCTGAAGACTGAGAAGGGAAGAGGAAGGCGCTGATAATGGGAGAAGATGAGACCGTGTAATAACAAACGAAGAGGAGAGAGGAGGATAGAGGACAATGACTGACAGAGAGGAGAGGGACTGATGATAGGTGAAGGAGAAGAGTGGATGATTGAGGGTCTAAGTAGAGAGTATAAAAACATGTTTGATGGTGAGAGGGGATGAGAAATGATGACAAGGATCTGGAGGGGTAGAGGAACATCTGAGGAGATAATAATATAATACCAGTTATAAGGAGTAAAGATGATAAAAGTTCAAAGGCAAGAGAATGGTGACAGCTTTGAAGAGTCTCATGATGGATAATAACAGGGCTACGTAGGAGAGGTGACCATGGAAGGTCTGCGAAAGGTGAATGAAAGCACATCTGGTCAGGAGAAGGGTTGACAGATGATGACACAGATTTTTTAAGGAAAGGAAAAAATATCTAATAAAACAGGATTATGGTAGAGGTTCTAATGGCAGGCGATGAGAGAGTATAATAAAAGAACGAGAGGAAGATAGAGGACAATGACTGACAGAGTGATGACAGATGATGCCTGGGATAAGGAGAAGATTGGATGATGGAAGATCTGAGGAGAGAATATAAAAACCTGTTTGGTGGAGAGCGAGGATGAGAAATGATGGCAAGGATCCAGAGGAGTAGAAGAACACTTAAGGAGATATGATTATGAGGAGTGAAGATGATGAAGGTTTTGAGGCAAGAGAATGATGATAGCTTTGAAGAGTCTCATGTTGGATCATGACAGGGTTATGAAGGAGAGGTGACCATGGAAGGTCTGAGAAAGGAAGATGAAGGCACATTTGGTCAGGAGAAGGGTTGACAGATGATAACAAAGATTTGGGGGGGAAAGAGATGTGGAAAAATAGTGGATGATGGATGCTGAGGCAAAAAGGTGAAGACACATTGGCGAAGTAAATGGATAAAAAAATAATGACAACAATATAAAGGAGAGGAGTAGATAGGGTCTGAGGAAATAGGATTATCATAGAACCCCAGAGGGCAGAAGAATGATGTAGGTTCCCAGGCAGAAGAATGATGCCAAAAGTCAGAGAGAGGTTGATGACAGATGATGGCAGTTTTCTAAGGTAGAAGGAATAGTGAAGATTCAGAGGAGAGAAGATGATGTAGGCTTGTAGGAGAAAGAACAATCTCAGGTCCAAAAAGAGATGTTGATAAATGATGATAAGGTTTGGAGGTAGAGATGATTATATGGGTGCAGAAGAGAAAGTATGATCGATGAGGAGATTCGAAGGATATGTGCCTTGAGTGAAATTTAATATATTTGAATTGCAATGCTGAAATTCCTAGCATTATCAGTAAATAGCTGTGAAAGGAAGCGATTAGAATGCAAGTATGCATCCATGTGTCCGTTTTATTGTTTGTTTTGTTCTTTAACAATAGATAGAATATCTGAAAAAGGCCATGGCACGCACTAGGGTGAAATCTTCCATCTGTCTGGAAGGGTGAGTGAAACAGCCTTAAGTACCAGAAGGAGGCCCCATGTTATTTATACAAGCCTTAAAAATATTCAGAAAAGATATAACAAAAATCTAACTGTATCTGTGACTATTCCAGTGCAAAAACGGGAGGTCAAAATGTTCCTTAGGGACCTTTTACAGACTTGATCGCACTGAGGTACGCTGTGTCTACAAAGTTCCTTATACCATTCCTTTAACATGTAAATCTGAGGACAGCCACCACCCCCCCCCCCCCCCCCCCACCTTTTTAGGCCTCTTCTGTTAGAGGAAGGAACGAGTTCCATCACTATGGAAAGCCTCCATCTGGATGATACATTATTCTCAATGCATCCGGAGTTCTACATACATTTATTTAATCCTGGATTACCTAACCTTGGAATACATTACACTATAAAGACGACATACAGTTACTTATATTTCCACTCCAAGGATCTCCAGTTCTGACAAATAATATTACCACTTCAGGAAACAAATACTGTATGTTGCGTGGATGAAGGTTTGAGTGGATCAGAATCCTCTCCTTATCTCTACTGTTAACTTTCCCAGTAACTCTACCACTAACCCTCCCTGTAAACTCAACACTAACTCTCCAGTAGCTGTAACACTAACCCTTCCTGTAATCCTAACACTAACCCTCCCTGTAACCCCAACACTAACCCTCCCTGTAATCCTAACACTAACCCTCCCTGTAACCCGAACACTAACCCTCCCTGTAATCCTAACACTAACCCTCCCTTTAATCCTAACACTAACCATTCCTGTAATCCTAACACTGACGCTCCCTGTAACCCGAACACTAACCCTCCCTGTAACATTAAAACTCTTCCTGTGGCATTGATTCTTCCTGTACCCTAATACTAACCCTTCATGTAGCCCTAACACTAACCCTCCCTGTAACCCCAACACTAACCCTTCCTTTGATCCTAACACTAACCCTCCTGGTAACACTAACGCTGACTCTTCCTGTAACCCTAACACTAATCCTTCCTATACCCTAACACTAATCCTTCCTATAACCCTAACACTAATCCTTCCTATAACCCTAACACTTATCTTATTATAACCCTAACACTAATCATTCCTGTAGCCTTATCACTTATCCTTCCTATAACCCTAACACTAATCCTTCCTGTAGTCATATCACTAATCCTTCCTATAACCCTAACACTTATCCTTCCTATAATTCTAACACTAATCCTTCCTAAAACCCTAACACTAATCCTTCCTATAACCCTAACACTAATCCTCCCTGTAACCCTTAACTCCAATCCTAACCTTTCTTTTAACAATACCCCCCCCCACTAACCCTAATGATAACCCTTACACTAACCCTTACACTAACCCTTCCTTTAATACTCTCCCTCCCTGTAACCCTACAACTAACCCTCCCTGTAGCCCTAACACTAACCCTCCCTGTAGCCCCAACACTAACCTTCCCTGTAATCCCAACACTAACCATCCCTGTAGCCCTAACACTAACCCTCCCTGTAGCCCCAACACTAACCTTCCCTGTAACCCCAACACTATCCCTCCCTGTAGTCCTAACACTAACCCTCCCTGTAGCCCTAACACTAACCTTCCCTGTAACCCCAACACTAACCATCCCTGTAACCTTCACACTAACCCTCCCTGTAGCCCTAACACTAACCTTCCCTGTAACCCCAACACTAACCATCCCTGTAACCTTCACACTAACCCTCCCTGTAGCCCTAACACTAACCTTCCCTGTAACCCCAACACTAACCCTCCCTGTAGCCCTAACACTAACCTTCCCTGTAACCCCAACACTAACCATCCCTGTAGCCCTAACACTAACCGTCCCTGTAGCACTAACACTAACCCTCCCTGTAACCCTAACATGAATGCTTCTTTTAACATTATCCCTCCCTGTAACCCTAACACTAACCCTTCCCTTAACACTAACCTTCCCTGTAACCCTAACACTATCCCTTCCTTTAACACTATCCCCCCCTGTAACCCTAACACTAATCCTCCCTGTAACCCCAACATGAATGCTTCCTTTAACACTAACCCTCCTTATAACACTAACCCCATTGAAAAAAATATATTGGGGTCAATTTTAACACCAACCCCTTCCTTACCCTACACGTTTTAGTCATTGCCTTTCATTGCTTTTCTTTTAGATTCATTAAGTTCAGTGAACAGTACTTGCCACATGACCCCATCATGTCTGGCTGTCTTCCCAGTAACCCGTGGATTACAGACGATGTCACATACTGGACATTAAATGCCCCCATGTAAGTATGAGCCCGAGATACATCTCTTGTGGTTTTGTTCCAGTTTTGGTTGCTAATCACTTTGAGGGAACTTAGATGCCTAATATAAGTCCACTGCTTGTAATTACACTGCATGTGGAAGCAATTACTGCAGCAATGTCAAAGG